TGTGTGCCTGGGTTGCATTGAGCCCGCAGAGCTTGCCGACGGCAGGTTGCAGTGCTGCTGCTCATCATAGAAACTCGCAGAAAAGACATGAGAGCAACACACCATAATTAATACTAAACTGATACACCTATCAGACTCAAGGTGTGCGCGAGCAGCCTTTGGGTGGTAATAGCCAGGCATCGAAAACAATAGCCTATTTTGGCAACTCGTGACTGTGGTGATACTTTGCCGATGATGATGATGATGAAATCTACATTTATATCCCGCAACAAGCAAACATATAGTGCTAAGACACGGCGGGCACCGGCCCGCGAAACGCGGGCGGCGGCACCCCTGTCGTGTGAGGTATCTACGGGGTCGTATAGTAGAGCGCATGAAGTAATGTACGGATGCCAATGAAGGGTATGAGTGTATAGAGAGAGCGCGGTGCAATCGCACTGTCCGAGACATCCAACGCGCGTAGGTACGGGGAGCAAGGACAGATGAAAAGAAGGAAAGGAAAAAAGGAGGAAAAGAAAGCCAAACTCCTCCCGAGTCGGCAAGCCATTGTCTTCTACCGAGGGCCCCAGCCGGAATAGCACCCCCGGTGCACGTGGTGGTGGTCGCAGATGGGGAAGGGGAGGACGCGGGGGGCCGAGGAGCAACCCGCCGTGCAGCGGGCTGCGGGCACTGCTCACGCCTCGTCGTCTTCATCATCTGAGGACGGCACCTCGCCGACCACGCCGGCCGCTTCCACTGAGTCGTCATCAGCTGCGGGAGCCTCCTCCAGCTCCTCGAGCCTCGCCGCCGGTCGCGCAGGCCTAGGAGCCCCTGACTTCGTGAAGGCGCCGCTGCGCGCAATGAACACCGCCAGCGCGGCGATACCCTTTTCAGTCCCCAAGATGGTGGGTAAGTCAATGGTCGTGCTGACGCCTCGGAGGATGTGCCGGTGGGGCGCGTACCGCGGGCAGTCCTGGAGAATGTGGGCCCGCGTCTGTCTATGCAGGCCGCAGGGGCAGTCATCGGGTTCAGCGGGGACAAAGAAGCGATAGTACTCGCCAGTGAAGCAGTGCCCGGTGCGGCACTGGGTGACGCGCCCAAACACCTCGCGCTTCAACTGGCGGAAGTGCTTTCGCGGCCGGTCTTGTGGCGGGAGACGGTTCGCAGTCGCAAAGCGACCGGCAGGCCCCACTGGCGTCCACTCACCTACCCAAGCCCGGATCGCGCGCTCCTGCGCCTCTCGCAGGGCGCCCGCTCGGGACGCATGCTGGTGGGGGGCGGCGCACTCGGTAGCCTCCTTCGCAAAGCGATCAGCAAGCTCATTACCTGCGATACCATGGTGCCCTGGGGCCCACTCGACGTGCACGGTATGACGGGGGTCGGCATCTAGAAAAGTGACAACAAGGTCCCGGAAGACGCGGGAGTAGCCCTGGGCAGAACCGGTCCGGGCCTCGAAGATGGCAGAGATGGCGGAGGTATTGTCCGCGAAGAAGTGGAGGTGTCGGACAGGGGTGTCGTGAGGCAAGGCAATGTACGCAGACACATCGCGGGCAGCCCAGCAGAGGCCAGCCATTTCGGCATCGTAGACCTCGGAACGGCGGCTCATGGCGATGCGGCGGCCAAACAGCATGTGGTTGCGGCAGAGGGCAACATGGCCGGCCCCAACCCGACGCTGCCCGGCGTGGTCTGTCATTAAGGTGATACTTTGCCGAGTCTGAACATGAAATTGGAATTTTGCATCAACCCCACTCGCACACCAATCTCCAGGTCAAATGGATGTCGGACAAGAGGTAGCAACTGGGATCATGAGTCATACTGCATCTTGCAGATTGATCTGATGTCGTATTGATTTCTGACACATTGCGTGAGACACAAATTGCGCCGAGGGCTTTTACAAATGTCCGGAACACCTGACACACTTCGGGCAGAAACAGAAGCAAATATAGGCTGTCTGTTGTCTTCGACCGCCTATTCTGGATGCTGCTGTTTCACTTTTGTCCAATCGACATTCTCACTGTCGTGTTGTGTCCCGTACAACTGCTCTACTTTGGACATGATTGCAGGAGAGTATGTCTGGCAGCTCAGGGAGAGCCAAGGTGAGCGGGCAGTGGAATGGGATGCAGATGATGCTGACTCGCAGTTGATGCAGAGGGACCTCGACAGCCACCTAGGTGTCATCGGAATGAAATTCGGGCACAGCTGTGGCGGGTGTGGAGAGCATCAATATGTGAGCAAGAAGTCAGTTATGACAATAATGACACTGTCTTATGACCGGGACATGGTCGGTGCAGGTGAAATCAGCGGAAACTCACGTGCGCGAATGATCTTCAAGCGGTACTGGAGCCAGGTGGTGGTGCGACTGCGCGTTGTGCTTGAAGGCTGGCCACACAAGGAGAAGATTGCATTTGCAGATCTGTCGCTGCTGAAGACAGCACAGCTGGAGATCCTGCTGGCACGGTGGACATCCGGGACACTGTTTTTCAGGCGGATCAACGAAGCAGAGTTTTCAGAGATGCGGGCAGCACGGGAGGCGCAGATTGCGGCAGGC